GGGTGTGTGGGTGTGGGTGTGGGGTGCGGGTGTGGGTGTGTGGGTGTGGGTGTGGGGTGTGGGTGTGGTGTGGGTGTGGGTGTGGGTGTGGGTGTGTGGGTGTGGGTGTGGGTGTGGGTGGGTGTGGGTGTGGCTCTGAGTGTGGGTGTGGGTGTGGTTGTGGCTGTGGCTATGAGTGTGGGTGTGGGTGTGGTTGTGGCTGTGGCTATGAGTGTGGGTGTATTCGTGTGTGGCCTTAAGTGTTTATATGATAGATATATTTACACCCACACTCATACCCAGACCCAACGATGAAGAAGGAGATTGGAATACGCATATTGAAAACATCAGCAGCCTTCAACGTGCTCAAGTATTGTGTATGGCAGCGCAAGAGCATATCGTATGAAGCGAAACTACGAATCTTTCAAGCATGTGTAGTACCTATGTTGTTCTATGGAAGTGAAGCCTAGGCTTTAACTAATATTCAAGAGCGACGATTAAATTCATTTTACACGAAATGTCCTCGAATAATCACCGGAACAAATCTAGAAGATCGACTATCAAATTCGAAAATATTAGAACTCACTGGACAATCACAATTAGATATTATCATGAGAAGAAATAGGCTGAGATGGTTTGGTCGTGTAAGCAGAATGCTAAAAGATAACAATGAACCAATGCTTCCGAAAAAACTTATCTTCTCTTATTTTCCAGGTATCTGTCGGCCTCAACGCACTAGTATTAGAAAAAGATATGAAGACAAAACAAAAAGCTGATATCGAACAATCCGATAGCACCAACTGGAGACGAGATACCCTGGATTAGAAACAAATGGCGCCAGATCACCAACCGACCTGTAGAAGTTCATATGACAAGCTCCAGTATTAAACAAACAGTTCACGATTACAGACAGCGCGCACTCCGAAGGCGTGCTAAAGAAGCAATCCACAAGACCGTAACAACTGAACCAAATCCAACTCCAACGATGGCACCAACAACAAAGAAATCGAATGAATGTCCCAATTACAATCGTATTTGTAAAAATGAACTCGGAGTGAAAATATACAGACGTACATGTGATAAAATGTCAACGACAATCATGAAATGAACTAAGGTAAGTATAAACAAGGTAACTCGATGCACGTTAGAAAGGCTGAGATTTTAATTAACGGATTTTATGACGAATATCTCTGAAATCACATCCGCAAGATGTGGAGGAGACACATTGATGGGTAATCCCTTCATTGAAGTTTCTACGACTTTCGACCTAAAAAGTACAGCAAACTGAACTGCTCTTCCTGAGTTTTCTCTATCTGTATTTGTGTTTTTAGTATCCAAATAATTACCAAAAACAAAAAAATTTATATATATAATTAATCATTATTTTAATCTGTTTCTTCTTTTTACATATATTTTTTGATTTTCACCCTACACCGGCAACGGTACGGATATTCCTTCCTTCCTTCATGGTTCGATAGCTTGTATATTCGCTCGGTTCATCCAGCATATGGAATTACTTTACTTCATGGGATCTATTTAGCATTCTTTATGATAATTTGTCAATGCCATATTTTGTTCTTTATATAATATTGCGAAATCAAAAATGTTGATAAATTTATGAGATTCAGCAGGCTTGAAGGAGATCGGATTCATGAGATAGGGGAGATCATTCAAATCTATTTCGATCATTTTGTGTAATGAAATCTATCATGAAAATCCTCTATGTCAAATGACGAACTTCATTTGTCAGTTACTATGATCAAAGCTTATAGCACTTCTCAAGTACACTAATCACTTAATGAAGTAGTAATCATTGATTATCGTAACACATCCGACATTTTTTCTAAAATAGTTTCAAGAAAGAACATTGAACAATTTTAAACATTCAGAAAAAGAAATATGAATTTTCGTTTTGATTATTTATTGAAAGTGATCATTTATATTATCTTTAGACAGTATATTTTTTTCTAATGATAAGTTAACAATCATGAATTGATTGAATTCAATTATTCAAAATACTCACCATACAGTAGTACTATGTTCAACTCGTATTATTAGTACTCTAAATTATTTCAATAAGATTTTGAACAATAGTCAGAAAAGACAACCGAAGAATCTACAGATTTGAATATGATCGGTGCAAATATTAATTGATTCGATTAAATAAGTCAATTTGATAAGGATGGTAGACGAAATAAGTCTATGTGCGACGCATCAATCAAAGTGCTACCATACTTTAGACATAAACCCTATATTAGAAGCTAATCAGAATCAGAATATAAAAGTGTAGAAGAACTCTAACCTCATGAAGGCTGAGCAAATTCACGAAACGCTCTTCATTACAATATCTATATCGACCAATGCGATTATTGTCGTCTTGATGGATAGATCTAAAAGATGACAAAAGTCACGTTCTGCTTAAGTAAGCCCAATGAATTCACTTCGATGGTTATCTGCGTTTACGTTCTTGTTCAGCACAAGAATTCTGTTAAATGAAAAGCAATAAGAACAGCAATTGGTTGCTCTACTTGTGGTATGTTCTTGAGAAAGTCATCATTCAATCGGTTTTTTATAATATTCACAAGAAATAAGAGCAGCGTTATCCGATGATTGGGCACCATGATGCAATCGATCTGAAAATGAAATTAAAACTATAAGAATTTCATTCATGTGTAATAGCACCTTAATATTAATTAGAATCTCCAGCAGTCGACGTTAGGTGTATTTTTCCGATTTTATTTGGGTTCTTAAGACAAAATCTCTGCGAACACCAAAGAAGAACAATTGATTTCTTATGTAAGAGCTATGGCTTTTCAAACATTTATCTGATGCACTTCAAGTTCAACTAGTTCACATGCGTAATCACAAAATAGAGGGTGTGGGTGTTCTCTTCATACCTACACCCACACCTGCACTGCAGATTTCTCAAGTTTCGTCCATTTCCATTCCGCTCATGAGAAATGCGAGTTTATGTGAACTGAATTCAAAACCGTTATTAATAATTTCTGAAGATCGTGCCATTCAAATAACACCTTAAAGTGTTTAGTTTAATTGATGTCAGTTTTTGATATGCCTTAATAAAAAAGATTACAAAGAAGATACTTTATGATATCATTAAATTAATGGTGATGATCATGGTTTGATAAGTATATTCCACAGTAGTTTTTTTTATAGTGTCTTGTGAAAAAAAAAACACCATAATATATATAATTAATTAGTAATTTAAACTAGAATTTCATGCAACTAAACGATTTTAGATAAAAATGAGATGATTTATATAGAAATATTTAAGAGAAATGTTTATTTCGTTGTTCATCTGGTTTTGTTTTCAAACATATTGACTAACTAATCATTGGAGTCTGTGTCACGATACCTTGCTTGTTGACAGTAATACGTACACGACCCGTATTATAATCCATTGTTACCGGTGATCCTTCTTTGATTAATACTACATTTGTAAAACCTATTTAGAATCATAAAAGTAAATTTCTACATGTTATTTAATATGAGAATATTACCTGTTTCTTTTTTAATAATTTGAACTGCTTCGTTGCCCTTTTTACCAACTAATTCTGGCCATTGACTTTTCTTAGATCCTGGATTTGCTTCTAAAAGTATCAATAAAAATTTTACAAAACAATTTTTCCTTCTCTTACTTTTGACAAGTATAACAGGAACTTCAATTGGTTTTTTTCGATTAACATTAAGTGGTGTTACTAGAATACGAACATCATTAGTATATAATAATTTATTCTTTTTATTTTTAATATTGGCATGTAATGAATATGTATGTCCAGGAGTAATTTGATTTGATGAATATTTCATTCCAAATGCCACTGGAAATTTAGTAACTTTACTTGTTCCACGTGCAATAACTTTTGCTGGTGCATCAGCACGTGATGTATCTTGTAATTCTACTGTTAATTTTCCATCTGGTTCAACAGGTGTAGGTGAACCTTCAGGAAATGTAACACGACCAGTTAAGATAATGTTTTGTGTACCTTTTGAAACCTTTGCTCCATCTTAAACATAAATAAATATGGAAATACATAATTAAACAAATGATTTATATTGTATGTAGTTACCGTTAATAGCAACAAAACAAATAATACTTATAGCAAGATAGAATTTATTCATGACTCAATCTAGAAAAATAATTTTAATATAAAATATTTTCATAAGAATTATTATTCGCGTCGAAGATATAAGAATATATATACGTATATTATATACGGAAAGACCAAAAATAATTTTTACATTGAAGAGAATACATATATATATGACAGATAATTCTTGTAATGCGTTGACAGCAGCAAAATAAACTATTTGGTTCTTTGCAGCAAAATACAATATATTACTGTAGAAGTGAAAGATAACGACTTGTAGAAAGAAAAAAATATAAATGATGCGATAGATGATAACTTGAAATATAAAATATTAGCTACTTAGGACATTTTCCTTTCTCAAGGGTATGCATCGAGTTTATACGGCAATTTCCAGAATTTAATATACTTTCGTTCGTCTTATTGTTCATTCATTTCATTTTCTGACTAATGACGTCATGAGTTTATAACAAAAGGTCTTTAATAAAATGATTAAAATGATATCAATTATTAAATGGTTTTACCGTATAAACAAAACAAAGTCTACAATTATTTATTGTTATATCATTTCAATTCGACAAATATCAATGTGCTGAAAACCAAGAGTTGAGATTAGCGAATTGATTTGTATTTCCAAGATATACACGTCAGTTTATTTTTCGATTAATAATTTTCACTATATTGATTTCAAAACTAGTTGGAATTGGTAGAGAAAAAAAAATGCTAATTTTTGGCCAATTCCAGACAAATGCTGAAACCTTTGTTTTACATTTGATGAGTTTTGACTATACACCTTCTGATAGAGCAGAAAACCTTGTCATAGTTAGTATCATCAATCCAACAGTATCTAGACTCTTAATATGAAAAAAAAATGTCGTCTTTGAAACCATGTTCTAAGAGTTGGTGCATCCCTACCTACTAATCGTTTTATCAAAAAGAATATTAATTTTTTAAAATAATTTAATTTTTGAATATGAATATTTATAATATTCAATTAAAAGTAACAGTTACTTGTTTGTTGCATTGTATTTTTATTCAACCGGATGCCAGATTAAAAGGTATTTCACAATGACAAAATTCTCTTATGTTAATAAAAGATAACAGCAAAAATAAAATGAACTAAAAAACCATCCACTTTTAACATACAAAAGGAAAATCTTTATTTAATATCAAATATAAATATAATTTTTTATTAGTCGATCAGAAAATCTGTTGTTTTTTTATCAAGTACTAATATAACTAGATGTTGCAAGGAAAATGTTTGATTGGTTATCTCTCGTACATATTCTAAATATTTTTTGATTCGTTCTTATTTCCTTGATGTGCATGAACAATCGCTAAATTGTGTAATGTTCGAGCAATATCTGGATGATTAGATGGTAATGATGTTTCTTGTAATTTTATTACCGCTTCATATTCTTCAAGAGCCATTTGATAATTTCCAGCTGTCAAGTGAATATTACCTAAATTAACTCTTAGTAACACTCGATTTGGATAAAGTAATGGAAGAGAATTATCATAAATTTCCTTTGCTTGTTCAAACTAAATCAAAAGATTTAAGAAAACAATACTGTTATGACATTTTTCTCTTACATTTTGTCGACTACAATCAAGATTACCTAAATTAATTACTGTTCCAGTAACTTCAATATGTTTTCTTGGTATACTTTTTTTATATAAATGCATAGCACGTTTAAAACATTCTTCAGCCTTGATCTCATTACCTTGTTCAATATAAACAAGTCCGAGTCCATTTAATGTTTTACCAGCACTTGCTATACGATTTAGTCGAGCATTCATATGTAATTGATATGCACGATAAAAATTACCTAGGAAACGATATATACGACCAAAATTATAAAATATACAAGCAATTTCTTCATCATTTGGATATGATGAACTAAGAATTGTATCAAAATATCGTTGAGCTTTATCATATTCACTCATTTCAATAAGTAAATTACCAAAGAATACGATAATATTTGATTTAGTCATCTTTTCATTTTGATATTCGAAATATTCAGCAATTAAATCATCGCCTTGATCAGTTGCATGAACTTTAATATACCATAAATCTTTAACAGCATTATATTCATATGAATCGATTTGAAATAATCCTTCTATAGATGCAAATAAGAATATCTATTTATAAAACCTAAGAATGGATGATTCAAAAAAAAAGCAATTTTGAAAAACATACTAGCTGAAGAATTGTTTGACTAAAATTTACATGTCATAACCCGAAAATACTAGTATTCACTTTTATTGGTGCATTGAAAGGAGATTTTGTTTTTTAGAATCATACACAAGTTATATTCTAGACAATAAGAAAAATTTCAAAAAAACGTGACGTAATAGTGAGAATACATGTTACCTATATATTTTTTTGCTACAGTTGATAATAAAGTATTCAATAATTCATTGAAATCAATGCACTATCAAATATTTCTTCCAATCACGAATAATTTTCAAAACCGATACGTTCTAATCCTCATACATCCCTGATGTGAGAATGATTGTCTATTGACATCATCTTGAAATTTTTCGATCTTTTCTGTGTATATCATTATTTTGTACTATTACGGATACGGTATTATCCTTGTGTAACAGTTGGTTTTTTTTCAAACATATCGAACAACAAGTACAAAAAAAAAATTTAGTACTTAAATATTCTTAATCTATTTCGATTGATCGATAAATAAAAATTTTTTTGTTATTTTTCTCTTACCGATATCAACGACAAATTCAGTTTCTTCCGGAAATGCTGAATATTGTCGAACATCAGCGATAGTAATTTTCTGAACAACATTTAAATTCACTGAATATTCGACTAAAGCATGTACAATACCTTCTTGTTTAGTAAATTTTGTTAAAAAATCATAAGCAACCGAACGTTGGCTACTTGTTGATAAATATTCATTATTTGATATTAAATTTCCAATACTATTTTGATAATTAGTCAGTTCATCTTGACTTAATTGTATCGCACGATAAAGTTTTAAAATATCTTTTTGTTTTTCTTTAAGTTCTTGAAATTTTAATTCAAGTTGCTCACTTAAATCTATAATATAAAAACGAAATTGAAATAAAACATCAATATCTTCTGTACGAAGAGCTTTATTAATAAATCTGAAAATAGTAAAAAAAACATATCAAAGAGAATTTTTTTTTCGTTCATTATTCAACTTACTTATTAACAAATGTGTCTTTTGTATACCATAGAATAGCATCAACTGATTTATATGTCTTATCAAAATCATCAATATTTGCTAATTCAGCTAAATTTTCACGGTAATAATTTCGACAAATTGTAATCATAGCTTTTTTTGCTTCGATTGTTTTTGGAAGATGTTTTAATATATTTTTAAATAATTGAAAATATAAAAATGAACCAGCTTCTTTTGAAAGATTACGTATTGCTTTTTCTTTTTTATTATATATTTTAGACGTAGCTATGTGTTTATCAAGTTCTTCATGAGATTTGCCTATTCTATCCTTAAGTACTGATTTATTTTCACACCAGTTAACAAGATAACTATGTTGTGTTTCAGTAATGTCGGCGACTGCATCAGATGATGGAGAATAAATAAATACAGAATCAATTTGTTTCAATTGCTTGAATAAAAGTTGTTGATGGTTGACCATCAATTACTAAAAATATTTTATCTGTTATAGTCTTTATATATTCTACACATTCATTTTCATCGGTGAAGGTCTTTAAAAACAAATTATGAAATTGTATAAGTTTCAAAATGAATTATACTGTAAACTTACTTGAACATCTTTATCGGATACACTGAGAATATCAATCACATTTTGATTTGGTGTTGTTGATGTAAAATAAACTAATTTTATTCCATCATAATGAGATACTTCTTCTTGTTCTCGCCATCTATGATCATCATCATTATCCAAATCTTCTATTGTATTTTTTGCTCTAATTTTTTAACTGTATCTTCTTGATTGCGGACAAAAATTTTATCTGCAATCAAGTGGTAGCCTTTTTTAATATTTCCTTTAAGCCAATTAAAGAGCGACATATTGATGAATACAATATATATGTTTAACTGATACACTTGATTAATTACAATGATTGTGAAAGAGAAAAAAAAACTATTATTATCTTTCTACAAACTATAACGAATAATGTTTTGTTTGATACAAAACTAATGGAAGAAGGATATCATTCAGATTTTTTTCTTGAATGCAAGTCACGTCATTTTACGAAAATCGACAAATTTTTGATAAAAATAATTATTTACTAATTTATCAATAAATGATTAATGGATTGAAACTGTATTATATATGAGACAGATATTCGATGTTGTTTTTACAATTTTATATCAATATTAACAAAAAAAAAA